ATGCCATTTTTAGCCGCCGAGGAATTTAAAAAAGATACGGTGACATTTACAGGGGAACCTTAAGTCTGATACGTATCGATTTCAATGAAATTCGCAACCTCTTACAAATTATCCACGCACGTTTTCTAATTTTTATTTTTAGCGAGTCAAAATTCTTTTTAAAATTTAAGAGATTAAAAAGATATTAAATAAATTATACGTACACATAGAATAAACGTTATATTTTTTCAAAAAAATTTTTTCAAAAAAATCGATGGAAGAACATCACTGTTTCTCACTGTTAAAAGATACATGGACGTTTAAAATTGCAGCAAATATAGAATACAGATAAATACGTCGCGTCGTAGGCTGTGAGAGAAACAGATTTACGGATTAAAGAAGCGAGCTGATGGTGGATCGTGTCGGTAGAAACGTACGTGGAATAAAGCGGATCCCCTTCTCCCATAAAGAGACCTGGAGCTACCAACCTGCTTGCTTCTCTCGATGGCAGTGACCTGTTATAGAGGGTCTCTCTCACGGGATCTAAGTGGCTTTATGCTCACGTGCAATCTCTCGGTTAAATGTCAGCCTTTGTACGGTTAAGAAGTTCGTTTGTCGATGTTTATTGTTCAACGTTGCGCAAACTTTGAGAAAATTGACGATGAAACTGGGCGAATTTCATTCCATCGAGTCACTCCATTTTCGTGATTCCCTCATTTTTGAAACTGGAAAATTGGGATATTTTCTTTAAATATTTCGATCATTAGGAGCATTTAAATTTGTGTCGATAGAATTGAAGATATTGTACAAAAATTTTTATTAAAATTATCCAATTACTGTAATTTTCTCTAAAATATGTAGATCATAAGAAATTATAAGAAATTAGTAAAATTATCACGTCCCATCTGTAAAATTTATTATCTATCGTATTATAAATTTAAAATATTGCACGTCTTTGCTAATTGCTTTCTATAAAAAATTATATAGTCAATCGCAAACTTTCCAAAAATTAAAGATTATTAGAGAAGCTTTCTGTTTCTATCCACGTTTAGCAAACTTTCTTCCATTAAAATGATCGTATAATCTTTCGACGAACATTAAGAAAATAATAATAATAACGAAAAAAAAATTTCGAAAAATCTGTGAAAATTCCTTAACAAAGTAACAAACTCGGATAAAAATATCGATCATTCCGAGATTAGGAGCAAAAACGAGAATGGTTGGATGCACACAGGGTCCC